TTCCCGAAGCTGTTGTTACATCACCCACAATAAAATCGTTTAAAACAAAGCTGAAGAACTATCTTGAGCTTTAATCGTTTTAAAACAAGATGGCAAAGTTTGTAGGTTCTCAGAACTTTTTTTGCCTTCCCAGTAGCGTGTTTTTGTTTATGTAATAGATGTATATTTGTGTTCCTTTTTTTCACTATCTATCATCTACCTGGGGCTACTAAAATATAAATCAATCAATCAATCAATAACATCACTATACCACTTATATAAGGGAACAAATTTGTTAATAGTTTGTCAAGGGATTTAAGTCTTCAATTTTGCTAAGTTTTTGTCTTTTAGTTACCACAGAAAACTTTATTTACATAAATCCGATAAAATCTGACCAAAATGGGCTCCCGATTTTCTTCATCTTCATCTACTAACCAACCAGTAGATGGGACTGTAGCCTATCCAGGATATGAGCAACCTTTACAAACAAGTAATCAAATGATGAGAATGATGGAACCAACTCGTCGTATATCTCGTGCACCAACTGTTTATGCCGGCCATACCGGAGCTGATGTAAACATCCCCTATGGTACAAATATGAATCCTTCAAGTGGCTGGCTCCCAGCCAAGTATTACGAATCATTCAAGAAACACTTCAAACTCGACTATTTTCTTTTTTTTCTCCTTCTCCTCAATTCATTTACGCAATACATTGACAAACCTATCGGGACGTAGTAGAAGAAGACAACGAAGAAGTAGAAAATATGGTTATGGAACTGGATACTTTTAATTGTGTATTGATTTAAACTTAGATTCGTTGCCGATAAGATGAAAAATGTAGTAAACCCTTTTGAAAAATTAGTCTTATCTAGAGTTTAATATGCTCTAATATCGTATTCAAATAGAACATGGCTTAAAACTCATACTAAATTACCTATGTACAGTTGACAAAATCATGAGTCCTACTTATTTTCATGTTCTATCGGTTTTCTTGTGAATATTTATTTAATTATAAAATTGAAACAATGCCGAAAATAAAAGTCAATTTGCTGTTATAGTAGATACTGACTGATATATCATTCACTACTATACTGTTTAATAGATATAATAATTTTAGTTGAGCATTTTTCTTAGTTGATTTTGTGTTTTGATAGTTTCAATGTCAGAATGATATAATGAGAATTTATATTCTCGATTTCGTTCTGGTTCAAGATTAAGGCTTAAACCAAACCATTTTTACTTCCCAGTATAAAGTTTTGTTTACGCTAAACAAATACAATAAACAAAAAACTGAAATATTGCCTTATTTTATGATAAGATAACAAATAAAACGTTTCTTGCAAAAGTTTACATACTATCTTAAGCATACAGAGTAAAAAAACATAATGAGTGGCTTTTATTTGAGTTAAATTACATATGACGTCTTTTGCAATCTGAAGCAAGTTTCATGAATTATTCCATTCCATTGGGAGTCTTGTTACCAACACCATAAACATATCTTAATAATGTAAAACGTTTATCTCAAATAGTAGCAGTAATCTTTTAATCTGTTTCATTCAATCAGATGCTTAATACTGCACAAAAACTGTGATATGTATTATTCATACAGCATAGATTATGAAAGCGAAGTTGACATTCAATCAAGAAAATTTTATAAAAATGCATGACAAAAATACTATTAAAAAAGGACATAGTTTTAGAAGGTTGTGGAAACTGTTATCACAATAAATGATAGAAACATTCTTTTTTTTTGTCATCCTCATATATTATTTATCAAAGAATGAGTTGAGTATACCGATTCCTCATCATAACCTTTTTTTCTCTCGTTTATGCTATACTGATAAAAGTGTTTTTACCACACATAGGTCGTTTAAAAGAAAAACAAAATTTTTATTTTTGTGTGCCTCTATCTTCTTTTCACATTCAATGATCATTTAGATAAAATATGTTCAAAGCTGAACATAAAATATACATTCTAAAAAATTAAATAATTAATAAATAAAAAAATGACAAAGAATACTGGTACTGAATACGATTTTATTTTCAAACTCGTCTTGATTGGAGACAGTTCCGTTGGAAAAGTAAGAAATGATGTGTTTATAGTTACTCATAATTAATTGTATGTGTTATGTTCAATTGACAATGGTGAACAATATAGAGCAGAATAAAGTTCTTTATTGTAAAGAAAAATCCTCATTTAATTTAATTCAAAAGATTATTTTTGCTCTAATTTAGAGTAATTTATTACTGCGTTTTACTCGAAATGAGTTTCGACTTGATACTCAATCAACAATTGGAGTAGAATTTGCTTATAAGCAATTAAATATGGGCGGTAAAAAAATTAAAACGCAAGTTTGGGTAATGTCTAATTGTAATATTGTATTTGATTAACAAACGATAAAATGTTCATTCTTTTACTATTCAGGATACTGCTGGTCAAGAACGTTTTAAAACTGTTATACCTCAATTTTATCGTGGTTCCGAAGGTGCTTTATGTGTATTTGATTTAACAAAACCCGATTCATTTGATCACATCGTCAGTTGGATAGAAGAGGTACAAAAACATACAAATACCAGTATACCAATGGTTTTAGTTGGTAATAAATCAGATTTGGTTGAACAACGTAGAATAAGTAGTGAGCAAGCTCTAATGCTTGCTAAACAACAAAACATGTCTTACATGGAAACCTCAGCACTGAACGCTACAAACGTTGAACAAGCATTTACAACATTAGTTACAACTATTTTTCATCGAAAAGTTCAAAAACCACTTACTGATGATATAACACCAGCACCAATCACAAAAGATACACCAGATCCTGTCATTATAATCAACAGCCAACCAAATAATCAAAATAATCAAAATAAACAACAACCCAAAAAGAACAACGGTTGTTGTTAAAACTTTGTATTGAAATCACTTAACACGTACAGAAAGAGGGAGTGTTTGGTTTAATTATTTCTTTTTGTTTTACTTGGTTGTATATAGACTTTAAAACCTAGAAAAATTTAAATATTATAAACGAACAATATTTTATGTCAAAATCTTAGTGCATAACCAATTGTGCTGTAAGTCTTGGTTTTTATAAGTAAGAATAAACGGTAACGGTAAACATGCGTTACCGTTGCTCATCTTTGAATAACAGCCTGAACATTTGAGCACGGTAAAATTATTTTTACATTTAGCACCGGTAATATGAGTGTTTTTGTAATAATCACCGCCTATTTTTTGAAGATATAGTATTGACGGGTGGCCCAGATAAAATCGGCCACTTTTGTTCGTTGTTTTTGAGGCACTGTTCAGTAGTTCCAAGAGTTTGTTCTAACCGATAGAGAATTGAATTCTCTACAAAACCAGCTATTTTAATCTCTGACAGCATTTTTCTTGTTTGAGCACCATTCAATATTTTGAATGACGCTGAGTTGTCGAACTGCGACGTGCTTTTGACGTCTTCTTCTTTGAGATTTTTATCCCATTGTCTGAGGTTCAATAGTTAATTTTTCTAGGTAGAAAGATAGAGAATTTTGTGCTCTATCGATCTCACTGATATACAACTTCATACAATATTTTCGCTACGTTAGC